TTTTTTGAATAATCGACTATCCTGAGAGGCAGGTCCCCACTTTTTGATTCAATTCTCAGAAGGACCGTCCTGGACCGATGCCGCGGGTTTACTTTGGAGCCTGGATCCGGTCACAATTGTCTGCGGTGCGGCGCCCTTCGGGAGGCAGAGTGCATCGAGTCTCAAATTCAAGTCTTTCCGGGAGCCCGCCGAGTCACACCATGAAGAGCTGGAAACTGTCTCAATGACTCGAGCTTCCTCGGGAAACTTCCTCATTATTAACCAAGAGCAGACGCTATCCCTCGAGAAAGTCTAAGTGTCTTCCATTTCGATCGACGCTATCAGTCAGCGAGTGCGGGAGATGCCTCTCACTTTTTTATTCCTCCAATCGAGAGTGAGTACGTCTGACAAGGGGAGTGCCGAACATGTAACACGCCGATCGGGCTGAAACTTTGGTCATAGAATCCCCACCCCGAGAGAAGTTTAACCCTAGGATATTATCTGCGTATGGCCACTTTAAGGGTGTTTAAAAAATTTTCGAAAATCCGCCCTTAAGCATTGACTCTATGGGAATAATGGAAAATACTATGAACAATGGACGAATATTGGATCTGCCCGAGATATCCGAAGACATAATATGTTTTTGGATCGCCGGATTCAAATTTGGCGCATCTTCATGAGTGGTATCGACTCCCAATTCCTTCGAAACAGCCAAATAATTAGAGCCAAGTTTCTACATGAACGGAATGGAGCAATTTATTCTGACGAATTCAGCATACGTGGTAGTCTACGAAAAAGAACTTCATACATAGATTCTGCTTGCAATGTATGCATTTTATGAACGGAATACAAAAATCTGTTTGTAACTTGCACCAAGTTTGGGAAGTTGGGAAGTTGAACAAGGGACTGATGAAGATCTGGTGTCAGGAAATTCTAAAGGAAGTTCTGGATCGCACCCAAGTGGATCGATGTGTGCTTTATCTCGATTCCTGGGGCGGACAGCGAGATCAGAGCTTGTTCCAACTGGACGACGAAGAAATCTGCCTTAAGACACTACCGCCGGGGTCAACACCGCTGATTCAGCCGCTGGACGTTTACTGCTTCCAAATGTAGAAGAATTTCGCGAAGCGAATGACTCGAGCATGTGGCTTGATCGGATGCCGCATCGACCGCCGCGATGATGTCCTTCGACTCCAATCACTCATCTAGAATCATTTTCAGCACCCTGATTTCCGAAGTATGTGGTTGTACGGCTGGTACAAGTCCGGCTTCGATGTGCCGGAGATACCCTTCCTGAGTATCGCCGAGATGTTGTTCTCGGTCACTGAAGTTTGTTCCGGTGATTCATGTCGCGGAATTCCGTTCATAATATGCATACATTGCAAGCAGAATCTATGTGTGAAGTGCTTCTTCGTGGACTACCACGTACACTGAATTCGTCAGAATAAATTGCTCCATTCCTTTATGTAGAAATTTGGCTCTAATTATTTGGCTGTTTCGAAGGAATTGGGAGTCGATACCCCTCATGAAGATGCGCCAAATTTGAATCCGGCGATCCAAAAACATATTATGTCTTCGGATATCTCGGGCAGGTCCAATATTCGTCCATTGTTCATAGTATTTTCCATTATTCCCATAGAGTCAATGCTTAAGGGCGGATTTTCGAAAAAATTTAAACACCCTTAAAGTGGCCATACGCAGATAATATCCTAGGGTTGAACTTCTCTCGGGGTGGGGATTCTATGACCAAAGTTTCAGCCCGATCGGCGTGTTACATGTTCGGCACTCCCCTTGTGAGTGTCTCCTGTCAAGCTGCGGATTCAATATGCTGGTCGCCCATGGACCGGAGTGGCTATGATTGCATCAAATCAAAAACCTGAGGAAAGTACCAAGATCGAATCTGGAACGTGATCGTCAATTCCACGTGCACGAATTCCTCCGGCAGTTTTCAGAGCTAGATCGGGGGCTTAAGCGTTTTTCGATAAATCCGACGACAGGTGTAGGAATTACGTGTTGTCTCAGACCATGTTAAGGATGTCTACTCAGTGATGACGTCGCGTCATGTAGACAGCGTCTCATCGCTCCCAGGAACGGCTTAGTGAGCTCTCAGAGAGATGCCAGAATTCGGTCTGAGATGAGCAGGTTTCGGAATCGGAATACTCATTTCCACAACTCGTGGAATTTAGCTCATGCTGGCTGGTCTGACATCCTTGATGTTCTGCTCGAATTCCCTCAATTTGCGCCACGATCGCTATCATATGTAGTCACTTGTATCGGAAGACGGGACCAGTCAATCTCCCGAGAATGCTCTCTGGTGAGAGCGCTTTTCCCTAAAATCCTCCAATGCGTGGGTAAGTTCAGATAGGTCACGTATTTTCGGTATTTTGCCCTGTTGTGCGAAATAAATGCCGGCAGATTCGGCTATTTCCTCAATCATATGTCCCTCGCGGTCAGAATTGCTGTGGACTAATGACTGAGAATATTCGCTTCCTGATAACCAAAGTTCCGCATCTTTAAATCCTTCACTACCTTGGGTCGACTAGGATCGAACGGTATTATTTCAGTTTTTTCAAGCGTACTTTCCCCCCTATTCGGAGTGCATCTGGACAAGCGCAAGATAATGCTTGCAAGAATGTACTGAGAAAACATACTCATATAATAATCTTTCGTGTCCTGGAAAGTCAAGTAAGGTGCGAGAGAACCGCCCGCCTCGGCAAGACGCTCCCGCAGAGAAGATGGAACTCGATAGATGATTCGATCCCGAGGGCTGGCGCAGGACGTCCGAAGGAGTCGGCGACTATGGGACACCAGGAAGCAGCAGCCTATGGATTCACCGTGACAGGGCAGAAGCGTTCGCAGTAATGGGAGTGTAATTTGACAGGACTAGAGCAACATTCGATTTCTCGAACATCTACCCAATGACATTGATTCACCGAAAGGTCACGGTGCATCGAAGAACTGGAACTTTCTTCTCGAGAAGTGGGTTTCCATTCTCCGCGATTTACAAAGGAACCGATGTCGGGAAGGCGATGAGGAGTCCGAATCTTGCGCGAGAAAGGAGGAGAAGCCGCAGCTCTCTTGGATCGCGTCGCTCCTTTTCCGAGCCGCACCCCGAAGAAATTCCTTTGCGTGTTGACGGATTTGAGGTCTCGAGTACCTTACGAGACATCTCCCCGGTATTCAATGAAACTCTCTGAGCTTGGGAGTAGCAATCTCGACTGATTCTATTCGGAGAACCCTCGTCGATGTCACGCGACGGCCTTTCCTCCGAGCACGCTCCACGAAATCGAAAGGGATAGAGGTACATACACTCAAGATTCGTGCGACTCACTCATGTGCGGTACGTTTGAGCTAGAAACGAAGATCTCGTGACATCAAATGCAGTTTCCGAATAAGCTCCGATGTCAAGATTTTCGTCCGACGGACCCCGCGTAGAGTTGCCAGGACTCTGCGCAGTGATTCTCTCCCGCACAAACTTCGGCTTATCCGCAGTATAGTACGCGATCCGAAGCGGTTAGACGTATACATCGGGAAAACAGAAGCATCGTGAGTGTTGAATCCTTGAAGCATTGGCGGATAATCGTGAGATCTCTTCTTGACTCTCCAATTCCTGCACCTGCGCGGGATATCGCATGATCCGTCCGCCTCCGATGATCGATCTAGTTGAAGACTGCGGCCCGAATCAAGGTCTGGTGGTTTCTTCGGGTAATCGATTCAAATCCTTCCCCGTTCCTCCTGGTTTCTGTGTGATATGATCTCAGAGTAGTGGTGAAACGATTACAACTGTGAATCCATCCTTTCGCCCATACCGGATGTGGTATCAGGGACCGCGCGGAAGACTTACGACCCAACTCGATTGAGACATGAGCTCGATCATATTGATCCCTCTCCACGACTGGTGAGTTTCCGGATTCCAGAACTCCTCTTCGTAGCAGCAATATTGAAGCCGGCTATAGACATTTTCCCATTCCTGTTCCATGTTGGATACTGTCGCTCATCGGACATCTAGTCGACGCAGATCGCTTGCAGTCCGGTGAGGGAAGAGGAGTATCCTTGAGAAGCGCTCATTATCCAGCCTGTGTGGGGACCATGTAGACAGCGATGTCCCATTTACGGGATTGATGTTTCATCGCAGCCGGCAGCGGGTTGAAAGAGCGGATAGCCTTCCTATCTATACCTGTCTGTCTCTGGCCGGCCGAGCAGGCAGCCGACGAGACCGATACCGTCTGGTCCGCACAGCTTGGCTCGACTACGGCCGACACCTGCTGACAACTATCAACACCTGCCGGCCATCGAAAATGCCGAGGGGCCCGGACGCGACGGTTGGACCAAGCGATAGTGGAGTGATGACGTAAGATGGTTGAAACATCACTGACTGAGCACTCCTCGAGCCCTCCTTTAGATAGACCTGGTCCGCCTCGCTGGAACCCGGCCGAGAGTGGCTTATCGTATCCGGATGACCTCTCTCTTATGATTGTGCATGAGCGTTAGTCGGAAGACGGCAACCCATTCGCTGAAACCTTGCCTCGTCCCTCGCATATGAGCGAGCGGACTCTCGGATGGCGATGTGCGCAGGACTCCCGACTGCAAGTGAGGGAAATCTTCCTCGATCCCTTCTTCAACTCCTGTCCACTAGAGTGGGGAGAAACTGGGACAATTATCGTGATCTGACCAGCCTTCTGAAACGAGTTGACGACGGAATAGAGAACACCTGTTCCTGTCGTGGAATATTTGTGCAGATGCCGATAAGAGGCCTGCGGGGCTCGAAAGTTGTCCGGAGACATCTCGAATTCCGAAAACTTCATGGGCGTGGCTATTCATTCACGTATTCTCAGGAACATCGGCAACTTCTCGGGGAGGGGAAACTGCGACCAGGGGGAAGATATATCCGCTGATAAAATGCTGAGCCAGTGGTCGAGAAGCGAGGAAGGGATTAGAACTAGGATCGAATGCTCGGAATTGAAGCAGAAGATGTACGATAGCGGATTGTGATAATTATTAGCCTTCATTACCGTAGAACTCCGACGCCTGTATTTTCTGCTGATAAGACAAAGTCTGGGGAGCCGAGATGAGGCGAATCACCCCTGGCTCCAGTTTCGAACCTCCAATCGCGACCTTCAGATTAGCGGCATCAAAATTAACATGGAGACGGAATGAGGCTATTCTCGGAGAGCAAACCTTCTTTGAGCAAATAGTTGCCCAATGAAGCAGCCTCGTACATCATTCCGAATATCCTCAGGTAGGCTATGGCTCCACCGAGAGGAAGGAGTCGTTCGTCCATTGCGCAAGCTTCATTCGAATGGTGCGGAGTTTCGTGCAGCGAATGCCGAACGTCCTCGCCTACAGTTGTCAGTTTGGACATCTCCAGGCCGCACTCTTCGAATATCGAAAGAAGCTCCTGCGGAGTTGTGGCTATAGTTAGTTGTTTGGCTCACACTTTCGCCGCTTACTCAAACGAGCATGTCTGATTCTAATTTCCTCGTTTCATCAGAGCATTTTCGCGCTGCCATCCACCCGACGTCGCGACTTGTCCCGCTTGCCCATGAGCCGCATTATCTTCCCAAAGCTTTGAGGACGAAGCTTTTCGTACACGGGTACCTTTTCAGTAATCGACGACCATTCCAGGAAGCAGCTCAAGGGAATAAAATCCCCCTCGTCTTCCATACGGACGATACACAGCGACCGCTCATCAACCCGCACACACTGGACGCTAGTCGGGGGTTTATCATGCTGCAGGATTGAAACAGAGTTGAGGCACGGAGAACTCCCGGACGATGAACTAGGTGACGGAGTCGACATTTCATCAGCCGGTCAGCGAAGCAAGCGAAGCTCTATTTGAGTGTTTACATCGGACGCCAATAAGACGGAACCCTCGCCGCCCACCAGATCTCGAGTACGCAACTCTCGTCGGGACGTGACGTGCACGCGCATTGGGTGACATTTCGCAATCTTCGGAGGGTCTTGACGCAGGAGACGAGGACCAACCACAACTCGTGTTCCAGATTCATCATCGATATAGACACGATCCGGGGGACGTTATACGGGTCTCATCGGATACGCACGGAAAAATCCGCGTTTTCCCATGTCCCGAGTTTCTCCTAGTTTTTCCTTGTCAAAAGTTTCTGCGATGAGGGAAAACACCGAAATTCTCTTCTGAGGTACATCGCACCGGAGGTCAGGCAGTATACGGTCTCGAGTGTCAATTCTGTCCTCGTGTTCGATAATCGCTCTGAGACGGCTTACGTGACGTGAGCGATTCATGCCCCAGTGAAATCGGCCATGAAGATTCCATCCCACATGGATAATTAATTTAAATGAGGTCGAACATCGCTGAACATTTGATGCCGAGTAAAGAGATTCGCGGCAGAAATTGAAACTCTCTGTCCGCTCGGCTGTAGATCACGTCCGGTCCAAGGTCATCATTGCAATATCGCCGGAAGCATATTCGGCTTCGCGAGTCAGCCCACTAGCCGACCCGTCGTCGGCCCGTCGACCGCGTTCACCGCTTTGCTTAAAATGGATTATTACCACTCATCGCTGCCTATTGGCATGCTCAATCATGCTTCAATGTCTGAACAAGCTTCGAGCCTAGTGGGCTAATACTACAAGGAATATTTTCGACCATAGGGAAGAACTTCACAAGACCCATTCGGCAGCTTGGGGGAACGGGAACGGAAACCGAAAGCGGGGAGAGGCTCCATCGGAACTCAAAGAGCGTTTCGGAATGAATCAATGAGCCATGAACTCAGACTCCGTCGGAGGTATGGGCGAAATAGCGCGTTCGTGAATGAAGCGACTCGCGAGTTGTCTGAGCGCAGAGGCTTGTCTTCTCATACGTCGCTCATCTGAATGACGAGATGCGCTCCGGTCTTGTCAAGTCTCGGTCTTTCCCTTAACAGGCGAAACCACAGTTCTTCTAATTTCGCAAAGACATCCGCCGCATCGGGAAATCGGTTGAACTCGAGCCAAAAGGAACAGATGCGACGGCAAAAAAGATGAATCACAGACGTCAGGGGAATATGAACGAGTTAGATGACAATGTTCCATTACTTTCGTGGGGCGATGAGTTTCCTGAATTCTATGGGATGGTCCTGAAAGAGGATCGGGTTCAAGAAATTCGAGGAGTTTATCCTGTGCCACGACGGATCGGTGGACGAAAGTTTGACCTCCCTTTCGGTCGACGGTCACCTACGAAGCCGATTGGACATTTATTTTGGATTGTCAAAGTTATCGACAGCGGCACAATCATCTATCATATACCATATTTATGGTATATGGTTGCCGTTTACCCCTGACACGATAGGCTTCCTGTGGACTGGGATAGACTTTACGCGGATCACCCGGAGCATTAGTATTTTAGGTACGAAACATTTCAATGAACGATGAATTCCGTCGTTTCCAAGCGGAATCAGGAGTCCAATGAAAATCCGAAGCTATCGGGAAAAAAAGCAACCCATTACGATGCTTGATTGCGCCCATCTCGGAGATGTCTCTCGTGGTTCAAACCGACACGACACCCCTCCCGAATCTCACTCAAGCACGGCTCGGCGATTCTCGAGACTCAGAACATGCACGAGGTGGTCGTTCTGTCGGAGAGGGGATTCCGACGCTATTCACGAGCGCTTTCTCCAAATCCCGTGTGCCTCCGAGAATGATTTATCCCGAGGAAAGGAACACCTTGTGGCTCGAGCAAACTATTCTCCACGGCGCGATCTGCGGAGAAACTTATCTGCTTCGCTGCGGCCGAAAGGAGGGGCGTCCGGGACTGCAAATGAGACCACGCTCCTGCAGAAAGACGACGCCGACGGAACGAGAACTCGTGGAGGAAACGGCCCAACGGGATCGAAGTCGGATCCGACTTCCCCAAGCTGGAGCGTCCCAGCGAGACGTTCGGTCCCGATATCCCATTCATCGGTACACGATGCGATATAGGTTCGTAGCTCAAATCCTGTCTTTGTCGGTGAATTTCTTGAGGAGGGGACTGGTGGGTGGAATCGCTGCGAAAATCCCCCCTCTCGGTGCTGGATAGCCCTCGATGTTTCTCTGTGATATTGTGGTCTCAGACGATTGGAGCATCCGAGGAATCTTCTGCTCGGTTTCGACTCGTCTGTCGAATCCTGCGGATAAGAATGGTCGTTTTATCAAAGAACGCGACAGGAAGTTTGCTCCTCGTCTCGCTCTCCTGCTCCTTTCTTCCCCCGAGACGAAGTCGTTCCGATCCTTGAATAGATGCCAGCTTCCGACTTTTAGTCAGATGAGCCGAGGTAGCATCAACTTCAATGACGTAATGAGAATCCTTCTCCGGGTACCGAATGTCGCTCGCGCGAGCAAGTTCCCGGGGAGAAAGCCGGATCGGGACAGCGCCGACGAAACGGGAATCGAAGAATTTCTGCGCTTTCCCGGGACGGGATGCTGTGAGGGTACTTCGCCCAATGTCGAACGCTACAATGAGATGGATACAACTGACTTGATAGATGAGTCGAGGCCATGCTCCACTTGCGTTGCTTCCCCATTCTCTTATCCGGTCATGTACGAGAGCAACAGCACTGGCTCGCGGACCAGGGAGCCAAAACCTTTTCGGATGTCGCGACTCGCGAGGCAGAAGGAATTTTCGGAGGATTGCGGGATATTCTTCGAATCTGTGCCGTCTTAATTGATTCTGGCCATTCCTCGCTGGCTCTGACGCGTCTGATCCAGCGCAATCCTCCGAAAAATTCCTCCTGCCTCTCGAATCGCGACCTGACGGGTTGACGTCAATGATGTGGAATCTACTCCTCGGGCGCCCCGTGACTTGGCGTGACCCCGATGATCTCATGAATGAGAAAGATATTAGCCAGGGGTTATATCCACTTAGGAGCTGTATGGGGCTCCCCCCCCCACCGGACATCGTTCCGCTCGGATGAAGTATAAGAACGGGTCGCAATTCTGGATTCAAAGCCCCATACAGATACGGACCCAGCCCCTCCAAGGAAAAATTCTGGATGCGCCCCTGCCCTTGGGTATCCGCGATCAAGCTGGTGGAGCGCCCAGAGGATCAGGATCGTGCTTCTCATCGATTTGCGCACGGATTTTCGAGCGTACTTGATCTAGAGCGCGGCGGGAAGCCTCAGCAATTTATCTCGGTCTGAGTGAAAATCCTCTCGAATATTCGACGTCCCTTCAATGATCGAGACACGATTCGATTTGCGCTCGATCGGGAATATCAGGAAGGAGCGTGACGCTACAGGCTTCCCGAGTGGTCGAGAGGAGTCGCGGGAGGAAGGAGCTCCAGGAGCGCCTCGATGGCTGCGCAGAGGTGCTGCGATCGCTCACTGAAGCGGGAATCCGTTCGGTGGCCGCGGCGACTCAGGAGGATTCGGTTGGGAATCCCAAGATACTTGTGAGAGAAAAAAGCTTCCCCCCGAAGAGTACTCTATCTCCCTGTAGGAGAGCCTCTACGCTCTGCTGGATCGCTGACCTATGGTGCTTCAGAACTCATGGTGCATCGACTTTTGGGATCGGAATTCGCGTTCACACGAACCGACCCTCCGGGACCTGGTTGGTGAAGGGAACTCCCCCCTAGCGAAGACTTATCGTGGAGAATCAAGGAAATCCAGCGTATTCTGACAAAAAAAGTCTCTTGTATTTCACCTGATCTGTAGTCAATCACAGCAGGTTGCCGCTCAATAATGCATACGATGAGTAGTTCGACCCCGGTGTCTCTCAAATTCCAGTCGTCGAAGTTTCGACGGAGGCTCGGATAATCGAGAAACGGCGGGGCGACTCGAGGAATTTAGAAAATACAACATTCAGTCCAATCGCGAGCTGATTCGATGACTCATTCTCTGCTTGGTTCCATGTTGTCTCTGTATTCCGCTCTTTTCGATGTTGCTATCAGCGGGGCATAAGACGTTTAGATTTTGTTGAAAGCTGCGATATCGACCGACTGTACGAAGTCTTCGAACTCGGCGAGCTTCTCGGCCAATTCGTCGATAGACACCTTGTCGTCTTCGACAACGCAGACGATCTGTAATTTGTTGATTCCATAGCCGACAGGAACCAATTTACTGGTTCCCCAGATAAGTCCATCCATGCTGACGGTGCGCACCGCGGATTCGAGAGCCTTCATGTCGGTTTCATCATCCCATGGCTTGACGTCGAGCACAACGGATGACTTGGCAACGATCGCGGGCTTCTTAGACTTCTTCTCGGCGTACGCCTTCAGTCTGAAAGGCGAATTCGTATTCCTCATGTTTCCTGAATAATACCATCGTACGCGACGAGACAAATGCGGTGAAGCGGATAACCTGGATGACCGTATTCGATCGAGTTCATTACGACTTATATTCCTTGACACGAACCTCTCTTCACGGACGGCATTGGCTTCCGCATCGTCATCCGATCCGAACAGATCGATGTCATCGTCCTCGGCGGCAGGAGCCGAAGGTTTCGGCGCCGCCTTTTTTGCGGCAGGTTTTGCTTTGGGCGCGGCGGCAGGCTTCGCTTTCGGCGATGCGCCGCATGCGCACACATCCTCGAGGCTAGACATTCTGAGTTCAACTTTCTTCAACGCATCGACCAGGTAGTCCACGGCTGGAACGAATCGAATGCACACTGATTTTCCGTGTCATCGAGAACACGCGAGTGCAGGACTCGAGATGCATGAGCACGAGAAATTATTGGATATTTTGATCTGAGACAGACAAAGGAGACCACCGGGAATACTCACTCTTCTTGAGCTCCTCTACTTGCTGAGTGGTGGCCATTTCGCTGCTCTAGAAAGTCGAAAATTTTCATTAGTTTCCTCAATTCCATTCCCCAGTCCATCGAAATCAATGAAAATATAAGAAACGAGCGAACGGAGTTCTCGAGCAGCTTTCCATATTTGAGAAAGCATCAAATTTCTAACTTCATTCCTCGATCATCCGTGGCGAAGATCGAGTACGAAAGTGCTCCTATAAGAATCATAGGTGGGAGTGCTGCACACTGCGTCAGTGACCCATGCAAAGACACGCCGAGCAATCCTAGACAAAGCCAGACAACTTAGTTCTTAGAGCGAGATTTCCACACAACCACAACACCGAGAGCTATGCTCTTGCCAAGAAAATGCTTCGCTGACCTCCATCACATAGTGGACAGTGGACTAACAAAGTATCTGAAGTCCATCCAATCATGTCAGGACTACCACGCTCAAATCAGGAAAGCCGCTCCGGGAGCAATCAAGGCGAGAATCATTGCTCTAGTCATGAACCAAGACTGACATACAGGCGGGTTCAGTCAACTTGTTACATTCGGCGAGACTTCAAAACAAGTACGGAACGATAACCCGATTCCTCAGAACCATCGATGCGTGCGTTCTTCCGCGGCTCGAGGAGCCTCGGCATTGAAGCTCTCCTCTTCTGATCCAGAGAAAGCCCGCTCAGGAGCATTCCGGCATTTCTAAATATGTGCATCCGACCGATCGAGCGTCGGGAGCGAGCAGGATGAATATTACTGAGGTATTACTCTAAAGCAATCCACCAAGGATGACATTCCACGAAAAAGTTTTTGAAGGCTTCTCAAGTCCGGGAACGCAGAGTAATGCGTTTAAACAGGAACTGTCCTCGATTTGCGAACATAACTATAACTCAGTTCGGAGTCGCGGAATGAATGGAACGAACGTAGTCGGGTGCTTCGAATGAGTCCAATGTGAGATGCCCGTGCTTTATCATCGAAAGCATACAAATACTGCATTCGGAAGGCTTCGTCTCCTACCCCTTGGGTCTGGAGCGACAAATTTGATGCCACAGACATCCTTCCCGGAGAAACTGATTGACAGCACGAGCTAGCCCGAGCCGACTTCGATCTCTTGCGTCGACTCCGGTTCCGGCGACGCTTCTTTTTAGCGTTAGTCGGCACGGGTTGCGGTGTTGGGAGTATTAGGTTGCTGTTACGATTTGTCCCGCCGGACTTGGCCTGCTGCTGCTGCTGCTGAGGGTTAGCGCTGCAAGAGACTGCTGCGGGAGCAGCAGCGGCTGCTGCAGCTGCAGCGATAGCGCCCTTGTTGGCTCTGGGGCAATTGGCCGCGTGCTGAATTTGTTGCTGTTGTTGTTGTTGAAGGGAAGGAGGTTGCTGAGGGATAGCTGGAGAGGAGCTGTCAGAATCGTTACTCACTGCGAGCGATTCTTTTATCTGCTGTCTTGCGGCTGCGATCTGACCCGATAGCGATCCTACTGGCTTTGTATCGGCGGCCTGGCTCTGCGAACTCACGGCAGCGGCTCGTTTGTTGTTGGAGACCGCGCTGCTCTCACCGACCGAGGTAGCCTGTCAAAAGAAACCAAAGCACGCTCACCATCGGCCGCCATCAAACCAAAAACCCCACCGGTGGGAATAACAACAATCGTCACAAACGCCACGCAGTGTAACAAACGCCGCAGATGAACCTGCGTCAGCCACGTTTACATCACACATTACCTATGTTGGACATACACCTCGAGTCGTACAGAAAACCGATCGGCATATACTCTACGAGGCACCCCGATGGATGAGTCATCCATATGCAATGCACCTATTCCCCACCGATAGCATATCACAACATTGACCCCACATAAGCGCCACGCCCTCCCGACTTGTACACGAATAACGAATAATAAGTTTTCTCACAAGTTATGTAGAAGAATACAGTCGGAGACAATAGAGGAGAGATGCAGTCAAGGTTTAATTCACGATATCTTCGGCTCCCTGAGCTCGGTCCCACCAGCTCGTCCGCCAGAGGAGTGGTGAGCCTCGGCCAAGCGACACAATAGCCCCCAACAGAGCCAGGAATTGCTCTCCTTCAAGGGAAAGCTTCCAGAAACGAGAAACCAATGGAATCAGGCAAGACCGGAACAGCCGGAGCTTCAAACTATGCGTATGATCCACTCATCAGCTCGCACCGATACTTGCGGACCAGAGTTGAGTAAGGACGGTAGCGTACCGGCGTTTGTGTCGATTAAGTCACGGAAATACACAGATTGGGAAGACTGCGAGCCCGAGCTTCCGTTGGACAGAAGCTCATGGAGTGCACCGTGCGAAACGGAGTTCCCTGTCGTTCCACAACCAGGATCGATCGTGGATACAGAGCCCGGAGCGAGAATATCACGATTGCAGACGTCACGCAGCTCCTATTCACGCGTTCTGAACAGAGTTTTCGCCCTCGGAGGAAATCCACTCAATCGTCAAGAACTCGGAGGTGTAGACGCCTTTCCACGAAGAATTGACCGATATCAACGGCTGGCGCGAGATCAAGGAATCACTCTCGGGCGCGAAGTGAACATACGAGCGCACTCGAATCTCAAAAATCGCGGAAAATCTTAAGATTCGAGACTGTATTCTAAACGGATGGAACCTGGATCGAATCAAATTGATTCACTGCTTTCCGATATCAACTCGGATCGTCGAGAAACATTGATTCAGAACTCACTTTCTCCGAGGATTCGAATACGGGTTGGACCGAAATACCCTTCTGGCAAGCCGGTTCGCCAGAAATGGCGGACGTCTGCTGTGTGGCAGACTGCCCCTTCCACGTTTCTAACCACGTGGTCGAACAACATAGGCCCGCTCCGCACTCTGAACGCGAGGAACTTCCTTGGGGAATAAAGTATCCTCGGTGCTCTCCGGCGTCATGAAATCCGATGACTCACCTTGACATCGATGCCGTAGAGCTTCTTCTGCAGCCAGAGGTAGTACCTGGTTTCGGCTTCATCGTACTTCCACTTGTCGAGCCAAACTGATCCGCATTCGAAAGCCATATCGACTGCCGCAAAGACGAGCAGATTAAAGGTCAAGTTGACTTAGAATGTCTAGCTAAGCTGCGAACTCCGCCGCAACTATATCGAGGTGGTCAAGCTCTGAGAGCGCAACGCAATGGAAGTGCTTCACCCCGGTCTCTCAGAGGCTTCGCGAAAGAGTCGTCAGAGGGCGCTCGAAGCGAATATTCGTCAGTAATCTCCACGAGCGCTCCTGAGGTCGGAGCTTTATGTCCAGAAAGAGAGGAAATCCTCGGAGGGGCTGTACTGAAATCAATCATCTTCCTCCACATCCTGCTCATCGCAAAAATCCGGGATTCCATTCGCAAAGAAATTTCGAAAAAATTCTCTGGCGGAAAATCCAACATGGAAGCCCCCTCTGTGTACACCGACCATATGACAGACGGCCCGCCTCGAATATGCGGTGCTGTCAATTCGAACAATTATCGTAGACGGAACTTACGAGATCAGAAATCCAGTTCAGCTCTACACGGATGAATTAGGTTCGTTTCTCCGGTCTTTCGAGTTTCTCCTGGTGTCTTAGTCATGAGGCGAGATCTGAATAACTTTCCTCCGAGCCTGGCATTGATTTGTTCCCTGATCATCGGATCCAATCGAGAAATCCATCACCCGGGCGAAGGACATCGCGTGTGCAGTCTTCATGGTCTATTTTGAACTCAATGCGCTCATGTGGAATTATCCGGTATCGCACCTCGAGCGTCATTCGGCAGAATTCTACGCAAGCGGTCGAGGAAGTGTTTATTCGAAAGATTCGAAGCTCTCGATTTTTTCAGCACGTGACAGAAATTATGGTGGCGGGGTTCGACATCAAAAATCGAACCCTGCTCACGCTCCAGAACGAAATCATAAAACATGACAATTTATTCTTCAGGTCCACGCGAGTCCGAAGATGGAGAGTCGACGCTCCTCCACTGCCACGATGGCTCCTGCAGGGGACGAGTTTCTCCGGAGTATGGCACAAATCAGGGACAAATTGAGAAAACGATTCCTCAGGAAGCCCCTATATCTGGAAGCTGCACACAGCTACGAGGTATGAGTGATTTCTATTCGATATATCCATGATGGGGTTCTAGGACGCGACTAGGATGGGCATGGCCCGTTCTCGGAGATCTCGGCAGTAAATCAGAGTGGCACTTGGATAGTGAAGCTTCCGATTCCGCTTTTCCAGGCGCTTGCGGCTCGCCAGCACCAACTAGAGTTCCCTGAAGCAGCTGCCATGTCACACAACGCTGCAGGCGATGTGTACAGTGATATTAAGAGGCTCGGTCCGGCCGCAGACAACTACACGAAAGCTGCGAGGTAGGATGGGGAATGAGCGCCTCTCGCACGCGACGTCTTTCTAGTCTCGATATCCCCAGGAACCGCTGAGTGAATCCGCCGGATGGCTCTCAAGGTTTCCTTGGCCCCCCTCACCCATGAGGACTTTCTCTTCCTTACAGAACCTACATGAAGGAAGAACTCGAACTCAAAAAGTTGTGTATGCCGTCAATAGAGGACAATCTCATCAATGCGCTGGAATGCTACCATAGAGCGATTTCCACATACGGGAAAATCGCCGAAAATAATAAGGGTGAGGACGAGGAATGTTTGAACGGATTTTCGCGGGGGATCCCAGTATCGACGGTTTCTCGAATCCGGACTTCTAAAATGCTCGGGACAATATTTCAGGCTCATCAGGGATGGTGGCCTCTTTGTGTTACGAGGCTGGAACGAAACTGCAACGACTGGAACGATTCGGGGAATCGACTTGGTTCTTGGAGAAGGCCGTTCGCAATTGGCCTGAGTCGCCAGCCTTGAAAGTGGAGTGTCTCATGGCTTTGGCCAGTTCTCAGGTGAGATATTGAGTATCGCATTCAATATTCCCGTCTTGACTCAGGAATTTCGTTCTTGGATCTGACAGCGATTGATCGCTCCTATTTCCACACTCCGCCTCTTTCCGAGGGCTCGCACTTCGCCCCCGAGCCACCCTTAGGCCCGAGTCACCAGGTTCTTCTGTATTTCAGGTGAATCTTAGTGAATTCGAGTCCGCCGAGAACACATTCCACGACGCGTCTGCTCTGGTCCTCCCGCATCTCCAGCACAACTCCTTCGAAGAGACGCATCAATTGATTCAGATCTCTTTGGTGCTGCTCATTGCGTACTTGGCGCCGCCGCAACACAATCTGACCCCTGCTCAGAAGATGATTATGGAACGTTTTCAGCAGGAGACGGATGATTCCCTAGAGATCGATGTTTTCCTCACTCTGAAAGCGATCTTAGAGTGCTGCAGGGAACGATGTTTTGAGAAAATGTCCCAACACTATGATACATTGATAAATTTCTGTGAGGAGACGCAGAGAATAATCTTCGACGAGCTCATCCGAAACGTTTGCCCCTATCATCGATGTTGATTTACAGGAGCCAACCGACTAGGAAGATCTATTTGTCATATCGACTATTGTACAGAAATAGCCACTCGCTCGTGTTGTGATATATCAGGAGGATGAATAGACGACGGAGAATTCGAAGTTTTGTCTTCTCATTCGGGCAGTGGGGGGGGTGTCGTGTCTTGGACCGGGGAACCGCATCGATTGCAAATGGTGATCTGCGTCTGACTGAGCAGTGAGCTGCCGAGCCTCAATTGCCATGAGCCATCAGACTTCGCCACTCTCTGATATTTCATCATGGCACGTATAATTATCTATTCTATATATATAAAAACGTATGGACAATACTCATGAGTCATGAGTACGCGGCTTACGTTCTGGAGGTCTGGCATAGTTTTTCGGGCCCCGCCTGACCCTCTCTGAGAGGAATAAGACGGCGAGGGGAGGGTATCGAGGACACTGCCGTCCGATTTAAAGGGGATATTCCATCATGTGATAGATAGGGCAACATCCGTGATTCCGAAACGAGGTGCCGATCGAGAGTGCGCGATTCACTCACGATTACCGGAGAGGCCACGAAAAAGTGGAGACTTGATAGTCCACGGCGCGCGAGGGCAGTTCATCACGTGGGCAGTTCATGGAGACTTAAGGACAATGTGTGAATTGATCCGAAACCGCCCGAGGGAGCCCTGAACAAATAATTGCCGCCTCCTGCCCCACGTCGTTGTGATCGCGGATGAGCGAGCCTCTCTTTCCGTCTCTTTCGAGAGAGTCAGCAGTGATAGTTTGATCACCCTTGGTTGTCTCGACCTCTCTGGTATGAGTATATTTCGCGCAGAGCTGTAAATGCTGCGGAAGAGGTAGCTGTCATGGAGGTCATCGGAAAGGACTCGCTCGTTCTCGTACCTGTGATTGTTCTCCAAATCGCTCTCGCTGGGAAGAATTTCGACGTGTGCACTCCGGGTCAACTCCGAGTGAGCGAAGCGTTCGAAGCTTCTCGACTCGCAGCATCCATATTCCCGTGCATGGTATCGAACGTGTTCCTGAAGTACAAGCCCCCGACTGCTTTGGTGGTGAAGGGCTACAGACCGCTCTGCTTCATGATAAGAGCCTGCCATGGACTTACCGCGAAGAACCGAGTCGACAGCCAAGAGGATATCATCGCGATAAGCAGATGTTTCATCGAGCTGTGGATCAATTTTTTGTCGATGGAAATTTTCATCTATTACGGGGTGCCACGGAATGTGACCGAGGGACTCCTAACCGAGAATTACTTCAGATCGCTTGCCGCTGACACTTTCAAATGTTTCGAATTGGTCGGCTTGGAAAAAATCCACATGGGACCCGACTCAGCTATTGCCATCCTAAAGTGGATGATGGAAAAGTTGTTCTAGGTTTGTGGATGCGCCTGATTAGATCATGATAGATCGATGGATCGCTCCATGAATAAAACCGATGCTGAGTTTCTAGTTTCTCGCTTAGAAGTCGCATGAGAGGAACTATGCTATGGTACTTGAAGGAAATCCTGAGCTTCACTCAGACGGCTCTCGGCTCCAGATCGGAGAGATCATCATCGATATACGTCTCGAGGAGAGTCCTTTCCCGTTATGGCTCAGCTGGATTACTCTTGGTGATTGGTGACATGATATAATTGTAATAAATGATGAGGCTGGCGAGGTGGATCTCCCGAACGCAGCTGAGGATCCCGCCCCATCGAACTTATGAGAAGCGATCTACGATTTCTTTCTTTCTTTCTGCCGACGATTGATTCGGCTCTCCGAATGGTCGCGAAAGGCATGTCGCAGGCGAATGAATGAATGAATAGCGCCCTTTTTTTACTAGAAGGGAGGGGGGAGTGAAGACAATAATTGTAAATACAGGGGGAAACCCTCGGCGCGTAGCTTACTGGCCATTCTCCATGGAAACAGATTTTGGATACGTTTACTTCGAGCAACAGTTTTGGGTCTCATCGAGAACTTACTACGGAGTCTGTTTCCAGTAATGGTAAACATATCGCCTAGAAAGGAGGCACGGAAGAGTGTCCTCCTGAGCATGCTATCATCGTTCTCATCGAGAAGGGTCTTGAGATCGGGAAGAGTGACATCATTGCGCTGTAAATTGCATCGATACCGGAGTCTGCGCAGGAAACGATCCTGCACCCGACCCAAAAGATCAATGTGCTGTCGTTGAGACGCATTCCAGAGAAGCGAGCAGTAGAGGAACTTTGGCATGACTAGGGAATACCCAAGATAAAGTTCAGGTATTTTGGTGATCATGCTTCGGAAAATACAATTTATGAGCAAAAAAGCAGACTTGGCCACGTTGGATATGTGGTGCTTGAAATCAAGGGCCGTATTAATTGAAACTCCGAGATCACGAGTTTCCTCGGTAATGGGTAGCGGCGCACTAATGGCTAAATTTTTCCCCACGGAGGCAATTCGGCTCCGCTGACCCTGAGAGGAAACCGCGCTTCCGAATAATCGTGCCGGCAGACCTCGGATTCAGTCTCTCATGAGCTCTCGAGGAAGCGACAATCCATCACTTACGATTCTGGGCATACGAATCAAAATGCATCGCGTTTAATCACGTCTCTGTCATGTTTATACAGATGGCCGATTTTCGATGATTATCAGTCTCGAGCATGCTCACCAAGAACCGGCTGAGCCGATGCCCAGACGACAGTCTCCCGCCCATATATTTTCCTTCCCCGACGCGTTGGGTTGGAGACTCAGAAAGAAGCCTAGTTGAGATGAAGATCACCAACGCAGTGTCCCTCACTCTGCTGTCTGGCGCTCTCTTACAGGCGAATTCTGTTCCGGGGAATTTCGATTTCTGCATTCCGGGACGTCTCCGTGTTCGCGAATCCTTCCAAGCATCTCGACTCGCAGCAAGCTCCATGGAGTACTCCTGAAGTACAAGCCCCAGAGCCAAATGTTAACCACGACGTTTAAGCCCATCTGCTTTGCGATCAGAGTCTGCTACGGAGTCACTACGAATAATCGCATCGACAGTCGTGACGAGTTGCGCTTGATGAGCAAATGCGTTGAAAATTTGGTGATCTTTGTATCGATGGACAGGTTCAAATACTACCGCGTTCCCTCGAATGGGACCGAGGGACGCGTGGACGGGAAATACTTGAGATCGCTGCTAACCAAGGCTGCCCAATGTTATGACGCGGTCGACATCAAGAACTTACTCATAGGACCCGACACAAGTATAGCGATTCTGAAGTGGGTCCTCAATAAGTTGTTTTAGTGGAACCAGGCAATTACACATGCATACGTGGAGCGGGGAGCGAAAATAAAAATTTTCCGAGGAGCATGCGCTTTCCCCGCCAAGCCGAAGCAGGGAAAAGACATCGATTCGCGCAACCCAGCGTCGTAGCTTGCTGTACGGATCTTATCGATCAATGGATCTAGGCTTCCGGTCAAGGCATGCGACGTGAAATTTCAGGCGGAATCCATCGCGCAAAACAGCCGGTTCGGTGTGCATTCGAGTGGGTCTAATACCGCAGAAGGTCTCATTTTTCAGATGATCTCAGGTCAAGTGCAGCGAGGGAGAGAAGTCCTGAGAGCTATTCTCGGTCGAAGACATTAGATGGTATGGAAGTGGCTAATTCATTAGCTGAGACCTTGGGAGTAGGATGTCTCCCGACGTAGACGTTTCCATCGAGGGAGCCGCTGGATGATTGCTTGATGGATTGTTCCTACTTCGATTTTCTATTTCGATACTCTCGCGTAGCAGCGGTTCTCTTTTCTTATTTCTTGTCTCCTCCCAGCCTAATGGTGGGCGTGCGTATCTTTCTACGAAATCATCGGCATCGAGTGCCTTAGAATACAGACCGTCTAAATTTCTTCGTGCAACAAACTTTCACCGTTCATTGTACGAACCATCGCATGCCCAAGCGATGGATGGGCTTTCTCTGTGAATGTCCAAGAGTCGTCTCTGGAATCGGTTCGGGAACGAACTTGCGAAAACCACCATGTCAATCCTCTCCCACGTCTTCCGAGGAAGGGCGCGAGTCCTTAGCTTGAAAATCGAGCTCAAAGGAGGGGAAGAAGCCCTGCGAGGAATAAGCGCCTCTCTCTTCAAAGGAACGATCACTATGTCATCTGTTATGATGGGAGGCCTTATTTCAATACATTCACAGCTAGTCAAGCCCATATCTACGTCGCTACAGAATTTGATTAGCTCGTGGTGAGCTCACGGGTTTCACTGTCGGCAGGAATCGGATTCCAGCCATCGATAGTGAATCGGCGCAGTCATCTTGCGATTTCAGAGGTATCTGCGAAGGCGCTCAAGCCCCGACCTTCCGTCGACGGTGAGCGAACGCAGAGGAGCAAATCCTGTCATTGCTCTCATCCATCGCTCAAAAGCTCTCCAGGAGCTCCGGGCGGGAAGCAGAACCGGAAAAGTCAGGAATATTCTGTTCCACTTGAGAGGACGACGACGAAAGATCCATCCGGAACAACCAGACAGCTCACATCCTTGTTCCCTATGTATATGTAGAAGAGACCACCCACTCACAACCACAGATTTCAGCAGACCCCTTCCCCCGCCGCTTTTTCGAAATCGAAGGTTTTCGAGGATAGAATACATTCCCATGCGGGAAAAGTACATCCATGGACTCAGCTCGACCGCTGAGGAGTTTCGGCGCAGGTTCGAATGGGGCGCTCAGGGATACAAGTTCAAGATCACTGCTTCACTCTACGACGGTCCGATGTAGATATAGCTCTCTCCCACCTCCGAAGGGAAGCGCTCCGACATCGCAATGAGATCCATGAATACCGATTCGGCACACGCCCTCGTCAAACCCGCGAGGTGATTTCCGTAGGAATCCGCCGGCTGTAGCTTCCATTTCAGACATCAGCGCATACGGAATCTCTGTAATGGAGACATTCCCAGCGGTGGAGGAAGCCTGAGCAAATGATTGTCTCATCAGAACGAGCAGATGAACACGCTCATGGTTAGGTGCACTGGCCGAAGATGAGGATCGGTCGGGGATGATCATGTCATTTATGCTC